AACTCTTAGGTTATTTCGGGCAGCCAGCGCCCCTATCATCGTCTGTACTATTGTTATAAATTTTTATTTCTTGTATATTATGGGGTGAAATAAAGTGTTGTTGTTGTTGTTGTTGTTGTTGTTGCGGCTACTCCATTTACGCTCGCATCCTCAAAGGAACGGAGAGAGATTTCCTCAATCTCTTCTTGATGAACAGCGAGTGATCTCGGCACGTCAAAGCTTTGTGGCAAACTGCTCTCCCACTTGATCCAAGCCTTTGCTAGGTCAATTTATAGTTCTGCATCCCAGGCTGCCTTCGAATCGCAAACAGCGCGGTAAATAAACTTGCCACGAAGCGTCTCAGGAGAGATAAGTCGAATACTCTATTCGGCACGCATCACGTCAGGCGGCGTAAGGACCGCACAATTTTCCTTACATCAGGGTAGGACTTTTTTTTAGTAGCTTCGCCAACATAATATAAATACATTCAGGTAATCAAACGAAGTAACAAAGAAAAAGTGGCAGGGATTCCGCAACATCTTCGAGCTTGAACTTAGCATCAATGACATCGGCTGAAATATAAGAATAGGTAAAATACATAATCACAAAATTGAAAGCAAAAAGGAAATAAGCGCATTAGTCCTACTCGACCTCTCAAAGGCTTTCGACAGTATTTGCCATCAGAAGTTACTCCAGAGGCTCTCCGCTGTAGGTGCCTCACCCGCTGTAGTTCAGTGGTTCCGCAGCTACCTTTCAGACCGGACCCAATCAGTGCGTATCGATTCTGTGCTATCAGATCCATTACCAATCACACACGGAGTCCCCCAGGGAGCGATTCTTTCGCCGCTCCTCTTCTGTATTTATCTAAACGATCTGCCAGGCGCTCCTCAATTCTGCCAGCTCGAATCATACGTCGATGACTCTAAAGTTTTGCTATCTTTTTCCGTAGCCGATGTCATTGATGCTAAGTTCAAGCTCGAAGATGATTTGCGCAATGTTGCCACCTGGTGTTGCACAAATGATTTGTTAATAAACCCTGAGAAAACGAAGTTCATTTTGATCGGCACCAAGCAAATGATAAGTAAACATTCAGTTAACTTTACTGTTTCGTTTATTGGAAAGACTCTTATGGCTGTCGAATCAGCAAGAGATCTAGGAGTATACATAGATTTACACCTGACCTATGACACTCATATCTCCCACTTAGTCTCTTCTTGCTTGACTAAACTGGTTCAGATCAACCGCGTGAAATATTGTTTTGATAGGAAGACTTTGGTTTTAATTATTACATCTCTTGTCTTTAGCAAAATGCTATACTGTTCGACCGTGTGGTCTAATACCTCATCTAAGAACATTCAAAAGCTGCAACTTATTCAGAATTTCGCCTGCAAAATTATCTGCGGCGCTCGGAAATATGACCACGTGACGCCATTACTTGACGAACTCAACTGGCTTCCAGTTAGCAAGATGCTCAAATTCAGAGACGCTGTTATGGCTTATAAGTGTGCCAGCAATTTAGCTCCTGAATACCTATGTACTAAGTTTAAAAAACGATCTTCTGTACATAATCGCACAACCCGTAATAATGAGAAGTTCGAAATCCCATTATTCAGGTCTGCCACTGGCCAACGAACCTTCGCCTATAGAGCAGTATCCCTGTGGAACACGTTAGACGAAGACCTTAGAAACGCTACAACTGTAAAGGCCTTTAAGAAAGCCCTGAAACTTGTAATGAATGAATGATTGTATGACAGTTAGCATTTAACAATATTAGCTTGTTAGATATAGTTTGCATTTATATTTGTAAATAGGTACTGAAAAACATTTTTTGGGAGTATTTATTAAAGTTTTATTATTATTATTATAACATCGTGAGCCAGTCCCTGCGGGCCCAGAAAATTAAAAAATATAAGAATAGGTAAAATACATAATCACAAAATTGAAAGCAACACGAGACAGGCTGGGCAAGACTACGATACTTATTACATTTAAGACAGATAGACTTAAAAGGGTGGGGATTTTCATAGTCGTAATTACTTAAGGCGGTTTTGCTGGTTTTGTAATACTCTACCATTTCCTGTTTAAAATCATCCAGGGCGTTCATGCGCAGGTTCAGTTCATCACCATATTTAGATACTCGTGCCAGAATGTTAATAGAATAGTTAAATTACAGCATTTTTTCTCTCGTACTCTATTCGACACGCATCATGGGGTAAACAGCGTACAGTTTCCATTACACCAGGGTACTGAAAAGTTGAGTTACAATATTTTACACCTCGGATTGCGCTATTCTGCACGTAGCAGAAAAGTTACTTTAGTTTAATATAAAAATTAAACTGGGTTGAGACATTCTCCATCTTGTACTACATTTGGCCTGCCCGTAAATCGTGTTATAACAGGCTGGGACTGCGTGATTTTTGTCTGAAATTGAAAAAGAAAAGGAAAAAAAATATTTTTCTTTGTCCTGTGTACCTACATTTCGCATTTGCTATATCTTTATAAGGAAGTTGAAATTAAGGTGTTTTGATATGATTTTTAAGAGGTCATACCGACATTTTTCAATTGCTTTAAAAGTGATTTTATCCTTGTCTGATCGCTATAAAATTTTCACCGGGGATTGACTATAGATTAAAATTTGTCAAAATGTAGGTCTTAGTCAAATCGATATTACTATGACAACAATAAACAAAAAAACTTTGAAACTGATAAACGCCTAATTTGGCGCGATCTAGACCAACTACTGAAAATCCAATACTAGGAACTTAAAGTTTGGTGTTTAGCAAATAACCTACGTAAGAAGTAAAAAATTCTGTATGTTTGAATTCGACTAAAACGAAAATATATTTCAAACCTGAAATTCTCAATAGCCGTGATAGATTATTTAATAAAAACGTTATGAATGACTCAAATTATTCTTACGTAGCGTCAGAATGCTGCTTAATATCATATTTCGATGCTAGGAAGTTTTGGTGTATTTTCGTTCTTGCGATCTTAAAAACTAAGGGCCTGTTTACATGGAGGTTGGGGACCCCAGGTAGATGAGGTAACCCGCTTAGGTGGGGTAACCCGCCTGTCCATATAATCTCTCATTTTAATTTGATCACGTTTACATGATAGGTGGGGTGACCCGCCAAGGCGGGTAGCCCGGTCTACCAGACTGGGTTACCTTCTCAGCCGGGGTCACATTTTGTCATGTAAACGTTTCAAGGTGGGGTAACCCGCCTGGCCGGGGTCGGATTCGTGATACATCAAATTCGCGCAAAATTCACTTTGGCGGTGGCTTTGCATTATTATTAAAGTTAACAATAGAAAGCTATTGCACTGACGGGTTACAGCAAGAGCAACAAATGAGTGAAGAAGTGCATTAATCGCCAAAACTCGTGGTTTGCCAGCATTTTTCTTGTTTACGTGCTTAGCGACCATTCAATAATCTTGAGAAAGTGCACCTCGGGATGGCGGGGTGGTAAGATTGCATGTAAAGGAGGGTTATTTTTTTACCACACCTAAGCAGGTTACCTCACCTACCTGGGGTCCCCCACTTACTAGGTGTAATGGATGAAGTAGACCCTCCACATGTTACTGATATTTTCCCTAAGGATGGTTTCCATGAAGATCTTACTGATTTGCCTTTTGTAAATTTTGGCACTGTATGGAAGTACATGATCGAGTCCTCCAATGTAAAAAAGCGCTATCCACAGCTAAACCACTGGTCAAAGGCTTTAACTTTTTTAAGTCCGGTAACTTAGTAAAAGTGACCGTCTGTTCTCGAGAAAATAAGTGGTACTTAAAGAGTCAAGTTTTGCCCTCAATGAAAAAATCAAGCGTCTATAACTGTTTCATCTTGCTCTTACCAAATGGCCACATAAAAAGCGCGTACTGTGGTTGCCCAGCAGGTGTTGACGGTCGATGTAATCATATCGCGGCAACCTTGTTTGGACTTGAGGAATTCTGCAAGCAACGTGAAAAGCAGCAGCAAGAACAGACCTCTCGAAGGTCCCAACCTTAAACTTGGAATGTTCCCCGTAAAAGGAAAGGAGAGGTACTGCCCATAAGCCAAATGAAATTTAAGAAGCATGAACATGGGAAAGAAAAGAAAGACCGAGAATCTGAAGTTAAGCGCGATAAGGACGTGAGAGCCCCCCACCAAAGGGAATGGTCCAACACCAGACGATATAATGTGTTGACTTCTGTTCTCTGTGTTCAAGAGGAAACGGGGCAAACTATAGGTCTTAGTCATATTTTACCTCTAAAGACAAGTAACAATTTAAAAGAAATAATTGGCAAAGAACATAGCTATTGCAGAGTAGATAGCACAGTTCAAGATAGAGAAAGCACTGGTGAGTCTGTTCACAAAGAATCAGCCCCTGAAAGCTTAGCTTCGAGTCAAACGGAAGTTCCTGAATTAAACAGTCATCCTTTTTCAATGGATATGCTGCAAAATGAATGCCAAAACGTCAAGCGGAAATTATTTCTCAATGAGGAAGAAGCAGCAGAGGTAGAAAAAAACACTCGAGGCCAGTCAGCAGTCTTTGATAAATGTCTTTTCCCATTTAAAGAACCTGCAAAAGGTCTGTAAAAAGAAGTGAATGAGCTCTGAAGGCAGGATCATGCATGCCCTAAGACCGTTGAAATGTAAGTCCAGAATTTTAATGCAGCTTCCAACATTCTGAGGAGTATGTCAGTGTTTTCTTTTCAAGAATTCAAGCAAGTATTTTTACAGTTTGTAGCTGGTTAAACTTGATTTCATGTTAAACTTTTTCCAACCTTAGTTATTTCACCTCTTTTGTCTCATAGCCCTAATTATTTATTAGTGCCTACAGACAAAAAGGTTTAACCTGCAATCAAATATAACCTGTAACATGCACATTAATGGTTTGGTATCATATATTCATGTTTTATGAAGACACAAACAAAATAAACAAAGAAAATTTGTTTAAAGGAGCAAAAGTTTACTTTGTTTACATTTCACTATTCTTCAGATAACGAAACGCATAACAATTCAATATTACAATTTTTCTTTTTTATGAAATAAGTGGAGGGTGGAAATTTGTGAGTGCTGCAATAACGATAAAAATGTCTGAAGCTATTCCTGCGAG